ATGAGGCCAAAGGAAACCAACAGCAACATGGCTTATATGGCTTATGATCAAAGTTGCCGATGACTGTAGCCCTACGGCCAGCTGAAGATAGAAACAACAGGATGTGCATCATCCTTACTGAGAACATTAAACTAAGTGTTCCTGCCCAAGACTGACTTCAAGTCATAATGTGCACTGACAAAGACCCCATGTACATTATTATTATCAATAATTTTATACAGCACCTTTAAAAGTGGCATCTCAAAGCACTTTTCATAAAACAATACACAGTGAGGAGAGATAGCAGAGCAGGAATACAGTAGGAAAGCACAGGGGGCAGACACAGTACCAGTTCAATTAAAGCCCATCTAAAGAAGAAGAAGATTCTGAGTCTAGATCTGAAAGAGCTTGGGGAAGGTGACTCTCTGATATCCCTTAGGGCTAGAATTCCCAAGCTTTGGAGCGTAGCAGGAGAAGATCTTGTAAACGGGCTTGGGGGGATAGAGGGGAGACCAGAATAAGATCAGCGAAAGTTGCAAAGTGGGAAGTAGGATAAGTAGGTCAGAGAGGTACCGAGATCCCAAACCAGAGCGTTATAAGAATGAACATAGGTTTTGTGTCAACTTCAAAATCCTCGTCATATCATTATCAATCCATAATTTAGGAATCATTCAGTGTGGTGCTGAATGATTCCCAAATGGGGGGTTTACCAACTGTTGGCAAGATAGTGTGATTGGCCAGAGGGCAGTTAGCCATATCCGATCAACTAGCTACTGACGATCCTAACACGGATTTGAATGGTCTGATCACGGATTTGTTTTTGGAAAGCATCTGATGTTGAGGCGTTTGGCGCTCTTCTCAATTTTTCCTTCCAAAGTGTAGGACAAAGATCTAAACTTTGATAGGTGATCTAGATATTACTAAATTGCTATATATTGTGAAGATGTTTTCACCATCAGATGAATATCCAGTCTAAGAACCTTTCATGTAAGCTGACAGATCTGTCTGTTTACTTTTTTTCAGTACTTCAGTTTTAATATGACCAAGTGCCCCTAGTGTCAAAGTTTACAAAATCTTCAAGTATCTCATGTTTAATACAACTTTTGCCTTATCTTAATGGATTGCTCTGACACTGTGAATTAAGGAAATTGGACTGAATGAGGGCAGAAGACAAAGTGTAGGTCTACTGCAGGCAAATGCGTAGAGTGGTGGTGTACTGAAAAACTAGTATTGTTTAAAAAAAAACATTGAGCATCTTCCTAGTTATAAACCACTTGTTTCTAAAGTTTTTGTTTATTTAAATCATGATGGAGCTGCCTTACAACATTTAACATCGAGGTAATTTTACAGAGAGCAAAGCTATTTTAAATGCAGTCCATCTGACCAACAGAAAAACAGAAATTGGGGGAAAAATGTTGAACTGTTTTGTGCTACAGCAAAACACGTGACTCTTTTTAGAAAATGATTCAGTGCTAAGTAGGGCCATTCTTATTAGTGTTAGAAATAGGAGTGCCAGGAGTTTATTAGAGCACATCATATATTTAAACAGTGCTCACTATAATGTTCATTAAAGGGCTTTGATATATTTTAGACTGGGTGGAATGCTTGAAACGACTTCTTTCAGCACAGGAAAGCTGATGAAGTAGGTCTGATTAAGACGGTGATTTTTTCAAATGCGTTATTAATTTGACCGACAGTATCCTTTTTCCCCCGCTTTTGCGGGAAGATCATTTAACGTGAGGTATGTAGCTTTACGATTGTGACATCATTGCCTGTCACGAGGGCGGTAATATTTCATGGAAAGGGAGAAGAACATTTCATTACTATTATTTCAGGGTCAGAGGAGCATAATGCTTGAGTTGGCATAAACTGCCCACTTACGGCAATGACCTCGCTATGCCCTCACATGCATATTATATCACGAACATTTGGGCCAGGTTGTCAGTGGGTTTTGTGCTCCTTGAGGTGTCGGGCAGCATGAAAAATTGCCCGAAGAAATGCAATATACGTTCAAAGTCGTTTGGCTAACTTGTGAAGGTTGACACGTTCATTGTGCTAGATTGTGAGGCTGTGTTCAGTGACAGCCACAAGATGTCCATGAAACACTTCGACTGATGTTCTTTTTAAAGCGGTGTCTCTCGATGGCCCAGGGCTTATATATCTGGTGCTGTCTGTATCTTGTGCTCTTTCTGCACAGTGTCCCAGTGCAGAGTCAATGGACATACCCTCCGGATTCATCTTGTCCCTGTTGTCGATTATTAAAAAAAAATGCAATGGGATGTTTGTAGGTGCAAACACGCAAAAGACAACTTGTAGTAAGTTGAAGTTTGTCCCCATAATAATTGAATAGGCTACTTTTCTCTGAAAAGTTTTGATAATGTTATGCGTCTGCAACTGACAGCATTTTGCATTCCAGTTAGGTACAGTAGGCAAGATCTTGAGTTTCACAAGCCTGCTTTGGAGATTTTATTAGAGGGAGGGGCTGTAAGCCCTCGAGTTTGCAACACGAGGGGGCTGGGGGAGTAAGGGTTAGCCACCCTTGAATCCTGTGGTTCGAAATTAAATGAAATTAAAATGGATGGGAAGCTAATTGGAGGCTCCAAAGGCCCTGAGGTAATTTAACCATTTCCAGGAAGAAGCAGTGACATGTGAGGCAAGAGCAGTTGTGGGGAAAAAAAAAATCATAAACAGGCCTGATTCTCAGTCAAGCGCTTCTCTATATCTGTGTCGAAGGCTTAATTTTAACCAGATAAGTCAAATGAGAACAGTCTTATACCGTATCAGCGAGGAGAGTGCCCATGTATATACCTGTGTGTGCTGGGGCATTCCGAGTGACTGCTCAAGGGGTAAAACAGCATCTTTCCACCTCTGGGATTTTGAATCAAACCCCAAAGCATAGTGCCTGAACCACTGCTCCACACTGCTGCAAACTTTTGCAGTTTAAGCATAGTAATAAGTATAACCACATGCAATATATTAGTCTCTGGTGATTTGTTTAGTAACTAGAAACCAGTTTGGTTTCTCTCTTGGTCTGTTAGTGTGCAACAAACTCCCAATTAAAGCTCAGATCTTTAGCGATGAACATTGTCTGCCCAGGCAGATGTCTTTGACTCAGGACTCTGGCTATTGGGATACTGTAGGTGGCCTGGCACCAGCCTGATTGATTCTGTTGTGTTTGCGCAGCCCAGGTCTTGTCGAGAGCAGCGCATGGATAGAAATGCAGTCTGTGCTTACTCTCTCATGCCTGCTCCCTCGTTTGCCACCCCTCCCCTTTTATTTAGTGCCGTTCATCTTTAAATTGTTATGGCTGGGTTGCTTTTCATTCCAGTTGAATCCCTATTAATGTGGCCTACCTGAGATAAACAGAAAATTATTCTAAAGCGAAGTGCGTGGGGGGTATTCATCAAATTAATGCATGTGGTATTCATTAGGCGCTCCTAATTAATTCTCCCCTGCCCTTTCCTACTTCACACAGTGCTGGGGCTTTGATATCTTTTTTTGGGCTTGCTTTGATTAATTGAAACTTCTCGTTTGTTGATGAAGCACTTCAGGGGGACTCAGTGTGCGTGTTTACCTGAGCCGGCTTGCTTGTTTTGCCGTGTATATCGCTCTGCATTTTTTTTTCCTTTCCTCCATCAACTTCACCCCCGCCCAAGTGAAATCCTCTCTGCACAAACTCCGGCACCGCTTCCTCCCTTATCGCGATACCGGTTACGTTAGCGGGAACAATCATGTTACTTCTGCTGGCAGTCGTTCGCGATGAGCCCATCTCGAGACGCTTTCCCCAATCGACGTAGAGGTTGTTAAGGCAATTAAGCCGCTGTTATGATTTTTTTAAAAAGAGAGTAAGAAGGAGGGGGTGGGGCGAAAGTGGGGGCCGCGTAAGATTAATGAGAATGGAATGCACGTGTGTTCAGGCCGATAAACTCAATAAGTCAGGCTCAAAAGAGAATTGTCTCTGGAAGTCTGTAGTGAAAAAGGGTATAGGAAACAACGTTTGGGAGAGCTAGGGAAAGCTCCCTTTCCTCGCCATCTGTCCCACTGACAAACGATGAAGGAATGAATAAATTAAACTGCCAATCCAGCAGCACTGCAAGGCCACCTTTTAGTTTCCCCAGTTTGTTTATGCGTCACCTGGTGTCTGGTGGATTTTGTATGCCTTGCATTTTTTATTCATCAACGTAGAATTCCCCGTATATATGTTTACCTCTTTGTTTGGACTCTGCTCCTCTTCCAACCCTATTCTCCAGAGTTAATCTTGAGTTTAACCTAGATCAAAGGTATCCAAAAAAGGATACCCTTTTGATCCCTGCAAAAGACCTGTTGTTCTATACTTTTTGAGCTCCGCAGTGTCTCGCAGTTAGACTGGAGGAGTGATGTTGCAACGATGAAGGCTCATAGGTGCCCAGTCCAGTCTCCAGAGTTATGATGTAACTGTAACAGGCCCACAAGCATGTATGAAGTGAGCCTTAACATTTTTCACTTGTGGTCTTGGTGTAGCAGCTGAATTAGGGTTGACATATGTGCTCATCTCTGACCAGATGTTTGAAAGCAAAGATTCAAAGAAAAAGAAGGAAGACTACCTATCCTAACTGGAATTGGGTTAAGTCCTCTGCAGAGGCTAAGTATTGTATAGCAGGTGAAAGACAGCTGGAGACAGTTCATTTGTGCTTGAATAAACCCACACTGTCTGAATTTAAGATTTTTGATTATAGATGGTTCCTACTCCCTGATCATGCCACGTAACTATTTTTTAATTTTAACCTACCTCTTCCCAATTAAAGATTTGGTTTATCCTGTTATGCTTATGCCAGAAATGTTAAAAGGCTAGACAGTGAGGCCAATATCATGGAAACAATTTAGAGCCGAAGGGAAAAACTAATCATGTGTTTAAGGTGTGACTCTCCTAGACCACAGTGCTGCGCTGCTTGGAAAAAATATCATAGATGACGAGTTTGAAAAGGCAGTTCAAGCCTTTTTCATTATGAATCCTCTTCTTGTGTTTTGCATCCCTGCTGCAGCCTGACGAGGACAGTAGAGATCTCTGGAGACGACGGACCCCTGGGGATTCATGTGGTGCCCTACTGTTCCTCTCTCAGCGGACGGTGAGTGAAGAGCAGCCTTCATTTTGCTATAATTGTGAGCTGTCGCTCTGAGGTATGCTCTGAGAGTCTTTTAAGAATGCAGAATTGTACACATGCTTAGTAGTGTGCCTCTAGAATATACACTGTCTCCTGCATGTTACTGCATCATTTTGGACACACGGTAGGCTTATAAAACCCGAAATAGTCGTTTTTTACTACTTTTAAAACAAAATTGTTTTTTTAAAAAAAGATGATGATCCATGTCAATTGTGTTTTTTTTTAAAGCAGAGAAAAATCTGGAAATTATTACTGAACACACAACATAGCTCCTGCACCCCAAACCAGTCTCCATAACTCTCAACATCTTGCCATTAACCTGACTGCTAAAAGCAGCAAGCGAACTTTAAAGGAGCCAGAGCGTGCGTTTTTTGGATTGGAACGTTTCAAGTGTGTGGTCCTCTAGAGGAAAGAAAAAAAAATAGTCGACTGGAAAATGAGTCTCGGAGATTATGGGAGAGCTCGTCCCATGTGTACACACATTGACTCCAATATCTGTTTAAACAGGGCCTGAGAGCCAATGTAGAAATGCTAATTACTAAAGCATGAAAGTGCTGCAGAAGACATGATCGTAGTTAGTATTGAACAATATATATTAAGCCGTTGGGAGTGCAGATGGCTCTGGGTTTAAGCTTTCTCTTTAAAAGCTAATGGTCCTGATTTTACTAGTTGTGTTTTCTGATGATCCACCCCATTAGAATGTGTTTACTTTGGTAACCACCAAAGGGCAGGCCGGGCTGTGACAACACCTCATGGAAACCTCATTTAATTGTTATGGTAAGGAAAATGAGAGGTTAAATGTTAAGGACAGGGGTAGAGGGCACTTTCACAGGAAGCAGGACGAGCCACCCCCCGCCAAAAATGTCAGAGTTCCTGTTTGTGTTGTCAAAAAACAAGGCTGTAAAAGTTGGTTCGTGATTGATGACTTCTCTTTATCTACCTGCGTTTTTCTATTGCAATGCCACCGCAACTGGAGCGGCCTATCTTTCCTCGCAATATGGTCCGGACTTTGACCAACTGGAAAAACTTGCTTCACATTTCAGCTACATAGAATGGACTTTCCATTTGTAGAGATGGAAAGATGTTTTTTTTCCGCTTGGTCAAAGCCAATGAGCAATAAAAGTGTTTTCTGCTTTGAAAATATCGAAATGTGTCTCCCTCGAATTCTGTCCTGGATGACACAAAGGAGTAAAAGATGAAGGAGTGTCTCTGGAGCCAGAAAAACCGACCTCTTCTCTGAAGGCCTGAAAGCATTTTGCCAAAAGTCATGTAGTTTTGGTGATAGCCCTCAGGGGCTACTCCATCTGGTGCCTTTGGATCCACTTCTCCTTGGAATATAATCCAACCCCAGCTGAGTGGAGCGCTCAATAGAGTGCAGCTAATTAAAGTTCATTGACTGGAGCTCCAGTGGTCTTTGTCAATATCGCTGTTTACAAATGTTATGGTCTGCAGTCCACAACAAAGCATCTTTCACGAGGAGCTTGGGTGCAATTATCTGAATGCGGGCTAATGACCAGCTGAAAGAGTACTTTCGTAGGCCTGTAAAAATCACAACTCCAGCACCTAATTACATTAATCATTGTTTTTTTATCAGTTGATTCTGTTAATGCTAAAGGAACAAGGGTTTCCCTGGCAGCCTTATCAGCCTAATGACTTGTCCACGCTGCTGATAAGGAAGTTGTTTCACTTTGGAACCAAACAGAAGTTGGTTTTGAGCTGGGTTCAATGCAGAGCTTGCCTTTGAGCTGTAAGACTATTAGCAGGATGCTATTTCTGATGGACTTTTGTTCCTTCCTCTCTGGTTGCTCAGAGGAGCAATGAGGAACTCTAAGCCACAGAGATGGTGTTTCTTTGACATATATTGCTAGAACTCAGTTTCAGTGTGTTAACCTGAAGTAATTTAAAATAAAAACAAATTTTCTTCACACATCTGTATAAAATACTGCTTTAATAAGCTCAGTGCTTTTCTATCAGTTCAGTCAATCTACATAATAAAATAAGTCTTGGAATTTTCACTTTTTCTTCAAAAAAGTAACAAATGCCATTTGCAGTGAATTTTACATGGCGGCCTACAGTAACAAAAACACACAGTGCAGGTAATAAAACAAGACCTGCAACAGTAGGGTGGCCTGGTATGTAGTTTTCACTATATACTCCATAATTAACTTGTTTTAGATGTCTATGTGGGTGGTACACTACTGTAAGACACCTCCCTGAGCCTGCGTACTGTGGGTATAAACTGAGCAAATTAGTCACTTCTGGTAGCTGTCAAAGAGCTGTGGCATTTTTTCTTAGCCACCACAGTGCGGTTTACAATCTCCAAACTGCTGTTTCAGAGAGAACAAAGAGACATTGACAAATAACCGTCGCAAATATTTTAAATCTTCTTCACACAATCCATTGTGCAAATAAATGGCTAGAATTATTTTCTTTTAGATTGTCATGGGGATGTCTGATATGGTTGACCGGTTAACACTGCCAGTTCTGGGAAAAGTATATTGAAGTTGATATTTAATTTTGTAACTCATTTATATGAAGTCTTATGCAATAATGTTTAAAACAGAATAGTCAGTTTCTGAATGTTTTCGTAGAACAACACTAAAAAAAATTAAACGTTTCTTCCTATCCAGTCAGTGGTAATTTTTTTAACGGTAAGAATTCACCATCTTTGACTATGAATTAATTTCTTTGTGTATTTACCTTCATTACTTTTTCTGGCTTTGCTAGTCTTGCACTAGATGCTCCTTATCCTGTTGTAATGTGTATTACACCGAATATCTCAATTTAATTTGTGAATATTTCATACAGCACAAATTCTGAATCATTTTCAGATCTCCATCCTTAACTGTACATCTTATTTTTCACTGCTTCCGTTTCTAGTTTTTCTGTCTAAGACTTTAATGGGCTGTACCTCTTCCTTTTCTTTTAAAAAAGAAAATTACCACAATTTTGATCAACACAGCCCAGAAATGGTCTTTTGATTCCCCTAGTCTTATTTTTGTTTGTTTGTTTTGCTCTGTTCAAAGGACTCTGGGCCTGTACATCCGTGGTGTGGAAGAAAACAGTCGGTCGAAAAGGGAGGGCATATTTCACGAGGATGAATGCATTGTTAAAATCAATGATATTGAATTAATGGACAAATCCTTCTCTCAGTAAGTACATGTTCCTTTGATATCAGACCGAACGCATTGTGTGGCTGTCAGTCATTTGCTGCCCTTTTTTGTAGCTCTTTCAAAGCCCCGCTTTTTTTTTTTTGCAGTATCAGAGTGCTGTATCTTTTTGTACAAACAAAGGCCATTTTCCGAGACTATTGTTGGAGAGAATAGCTCTGTTTAACATTACCAATACTGGACGGACTTCAAAAGGAAAGGAGCTTCAGCCATTAGTCTGGAGCCTTTTGTGAATGCATATTCCTTTTCTTCCTTTATGCCCATTGAACAGCAGCCATTAAGTCTGCAGTGCAGAAAAATAAGAATTCCTAATGCTGGCCATGCAACGCAAGCTTCTGAATATGATCAAAATATTGATAAAAAGTGGTCCTCGTTATGTTTCCCTCTGAGTGGGGCTCTGGCAATCTCAACTAATTCTTCACAGAGTTTGCTTGCGTGGTAGGGCCTGCTGTTATTGCAGCTGGGATAAAAAAAAATAAATCCGCCAACGCCCTTTCCCATCCTCATTTCAGACCACAATAACGTGCCACTCCAGCAATCCCAGTGAACCACTGGGAACTGAAATTAATAATGCATTTTTCCAAAAATGGCGTACATGAAATTTGCATTCAGTCTTGAATCATTACACATTAGTGATCGTTACCGTAGTTTTCAGTCAAACGTTAGGTGCTTAGCATTTCTTTTTTCCTCGCTTTTATGAAATGAAATTTTCTAGTGTTAACAAAAGTATTCTTAAAATGCAATATACAAAGTTGTACTTTTAAATACTTGTAGGTTATGATGTATTTGACATCAACAGTAATGGCACTTGGAAATCTGTTTACTTAACATCAGGATTCAGTTAATAAAGTCTCAGAGCAGGGGTCACTCCTGGTGGACTGGTGTGTCTGCAGGTTTTCATTCCACATCATCTCTTGATGATAAATCATTTTTATTAATGGCTTAATTGCACTTCTTCCAGCTCTTCAGATGCTGCTGCTTTAAAGAGATTTAGAAAGCCTGTAGGCACACTGGTTTTCGAGGAGCCTTCAGTCTCTTCATTTCCAGACTAGTCACATTTATGCTAGCAGCCATCTCACCCTGCAACTCACAGTTGGGAACCCTCTGAAGCTCAGCAGCTGTGAGCCTGGTCAGTACCTGGAAGGGAGACTTCCTGGGAAAAACTAAGGTTGCTGGTGGAAAAGATGTTAGTGGGGCCAGTAGGGGGCACTCACTCTGCAGTCTGTGTGGGTCCTAATGCCCCAGCATAGAGACACTACACTTTAAAAAGGTGCCATCCTTCATATGAGATGTAAAACCCGAGGTCCTGACTCTTCGTGGTCATTAAAAATCCTAGGGCATTTCTCGAAAAGAGTAGGCCCATTGTCCTGGCCAAGTTTACCAATCATGGCCTCCTAATAATCCCCATCCATGAACTGACGTCATTACTCTGTTCTCCTCCCCACTGAGAGCTGATGTGTGGGGAACGTACTGGTGCCCTATGGCTGCCATCTCATCATGCAGGCGGGGCTACACATTGGTGGTTGTAGTGAGATTTCCCACTACCTGTAAAGCGCTTAGAGTGGAGTGTCCAAAAAAGCACCGTAGAAGTGTAAGGAATTATTATTTAGAAGTTATTCTGAAGTTGTTTCATGTTTCTATTAAAACCGAATCATGTTTGGTGGTACATATGGTCCTTCACAGTTACAGCCACTTCCGGGTTTTGTGTTTTGCCGTTTTGCACACAGGTCTCAGGAGACATTTCGCCAGGCCATGCGGTACGCCACCGTGCGGCTGGAGGTGGTCCCTTCCCAGAACAGGGAGCGCTACGAAAAGAAACTGATCGGCCAGCTGTTCAGCTCGGACCCCGCCGAAGGCGTCCCCAAAGGGAATCCGCCCGCGGCGTTGAAAGGGAAGATGGCGTCAAAAGCCGGCGAGCCACCGGCTAGGCAGGGCGAGCTCTCTGTCAGACCGGTCGAACCGGCAGCGAAGCCCAACGAGGCCCATTTCAACCAGCACCAGGACACCGGGCCTGCGCCGACGCCTCCTGGGACCAGCCTCACCCCCGTCACTAAAAGTAAAAGTGACAGCCCTTTGCTTAAGAAGAGCCCCGCCGCGATCTCTCCCCTCGTAGCCTTCGGCAACAAGAAGATGGGCAAAAAGCTCAAGATTGACCTCAAGAAAGGTAAGAAAACCCAAGGTGAGATTTGATCTTGGCTTGCCATCCCATGACTATCATCAGCAATGCGGACCGTAAACTAATTTGCACCAGTCCGTTAAATTTTCTTAATGGGTTCAGTTACAAATTCATAATATTAGCTCCCAACATTAAACAACTGTGCTAAGCTGAGAAACTGAGACCATTAACGTAGATTACAGATGTGAGAAAAACAATCAGTGCCTTTGGTCGCTTGCGTCTTGCATCTCAATGATCCTTTATCAAGCTGCTCTTGAAGGATCCCAGTACCTCTCTATATATTGTAGCATAGTTGTTTGTTCATTCCTCCCATGGTTAAAAGAAATGCCCCTTCATCTCGGTTCCTAAATGTCTTTGTTAACTACTTTAACTTTTCTGCTTATGTCCTATTACGTGCAGGGAGAAAAAAGGTTTTTAGGTTGGAAAGGTTTTCAAGTCTTGTCATAATGAAATACATTTAACCTTAATGTTGCACTGTAAATTGTATTGAATGTGTTCTCAGGAAACCATAAGCGTGTCCATCCTTTGGGACTCCGGTAGGTTTAGAATGCTAGTCATTTGAGTGGCTTTTTGAATTTGTACTTTGACACTTTACTGTCTCAGGAACAGACTACAATTTAGATTGGATTAACCATCCTATACCACCAGATAAATCGGGTGAAAGCTTGAATGGGGAGGCAGGGTGATTTTGCTGTAAACCATCAGTCAGCTTTGCTTAGGAGCTGACACCTATTGGTGTGCAGGTGAGGTGGGTTGAAGCTGGCTTGGACAGGCTCATACAGAATCTGCAGGATGCTCGTGGAATCTGTCCGAACTCCTACTTTCCTGAGCTGATGTCAGTGGGACCTATGTCACATCCTTCTCTGATGCAGCAGCTGTGCTATATGTGCCCAAGGCTCACAGCTGTAAAGAAACGCAAAGGATTGACATCTGTGGTGGCACATGGATGCTAACTAATTTATTTGGGCTGACACGTCTATCCAAAGCAACTCATGTTTGCAGTCATTTATACACCTAGTTCTTTTTTCTGGAGCAGTTTGGGTAAAGTACCGTGCATAAACGTGCGCTAGCAATGTCTCCTCTGGGATTTAAACTCAGCCTTCCCATTAGAAGCACTGCTCCACACTCTTGCCCTGCAATCCTACTGTCTTACCAGGACTAGTGCAAGGACCGAGGTAGTAAGCAGGACACAGTACTGATGAGCAGTTCTGAAGTGAGAAACATGGAAGATCATTCTAGACCTTGCAATAAGACCAGATGATTGACATTAGCAGGATTGCAGATTTTGTGTGGTTCGAAAGTATTCACGCTAGATCAGAACTAATGGATTAGTCATTGAAGTCTTTTATTGCTGTTGAAAACTGATCTTGGAAAATGAGCATGCAGTCCACATCTTTGTCAGGGTCAGATGGTACAAAAAAAAAGGCAAGCAACCAAAGTTTGAATGATCAGTCCTGCAAACCCAGTTTGAAGTCCTTGATTACTTTTTAGTGTACTACATTTCATTGTGACTGTTACTAACATTGCTAACATATCCAAAACTTTTCAGATGTGGACATCCAGTACAACAAACTGGGCTACATTAATTTTCCTTTCCTGTCAGACCACATGTGTTAGCTTACATTTAACATGTTTAAAGATTATAAGTTGATGATCACGGTGCTTGTTCAGTAACTGCAGAAAAATGTCAACATTAAGTAAAATAGGAATAAACCCATAGTTGCTTGATACTGCTGTTGAAGTCAAAACAAAAGCATGTTCCCTTCTCATGACTCAGCACAATATTATCCTGAAATCGCATCTGCCAAAACCTGCTCTGTGAAGCATCAGAGCAAACGCCATTTTGGATTGTGGGAAAACAAAGTCAAGAGAAGTTTCTTTTTCGTATTCATTTATTTTCCTCTCGCCCAGCTAATAAACCTGAGGTTATCTCCGACCTGCAAAGTGACCCAATGTGTTAATTTAAAGGCTGAAGCTTTCTTTGTCTTGGATACACACTGTGATGCATTATGACAGCCTTACCGGTTACAGCTAATCTGCTACAGATATGGTCTCTCTTGTAATAATGACTTGACAGGAGTCCCATGTCAGCACTTTGTGCGGGCCGCTGCAGAGTAATGTAGTTATTCAGATGTCTTCATCCCTTGTGGTTCATCCTGCTGCTTTATGTTTTTCATAACTCCTAATGCTTGACAAGTTTACATAAAAAAAAAACATTGCAAATCTGTTTTGCCGTTTACCACATAAACCCCATTACATTGTAGCTGACATCAGCTCATCTCCCAGTCTAACTGAGAGAATTTCTTGGGTCCACGGTTATCAGATTCCTTTCGAAAGCAGGTTATTGAATCTCTCGGGCAGTTTATCTGAACTCTACCAAAAGGGACCTGCTCTAGTGAGGCAGTAGTGTTGCAGCTGAGTTTGTGTCTTCATTCTAGAAACAGAAAAGCCTTTACTTAACCGGTTCCATTCTTCACCCCTCTGCTCTTCTTAGTACCACCATCCACGGTCTCTATTGTTATTGTTGTATTGTTGTAATTGTGTATTGTAATTGTGTCTTATCTTGTGTATTCTTCTTATTTATTGTTGTATTCTTCTTATTTATTGTTATTGTCATCCTGTAAAGTGCTTTGAGAAGCCACCTTTAAAGGCGCTATATAAAATAAAGTTTATTATTATTTTTTAAGCTGAAGTATGTAAGCATGTAAAAACAAAGAAGCTATTGATGACGTATGAGATATACAGTATGAAAGCCATACATTTCTTTTATGGCATAGTTAGTTTGCTTCATAAGTTTTATTTTAATAGGCTTGAGGCTGCGACTGTAGTAATTGATTCTGCATCCCTTCACATTGCAGGCTCCACCGGTTTTTCCAATCTCTCAGGAGAGATGAACACCAGGGAGCATCCGCGCAGATTAATTTGGTTAACTGCAAAGCCTTTCACCTCTTGCGTTTCTCGATTACTGCTAGGTTTGGTCACGTGTGAAGTGAGGTCGGTGTCCTTTGGCCCAACCCCCCTCCAAAACCCCAACCCAAGCCAAAACGCAAGGCCGTTTCAAACAATTACGTTTTCTGGCCCCGGGGGAGAGTCAAAACACTGAAGCTGTGGTTCATAGAGAGAACAGGAAAATGTCTTATTGTAGTATTCTGGGGTTGGAAATTTTGAATCTGTTACCCCTTCACCTTTTACAGTGGTGTTTACTGACTGGAATGTCTGGTTTGCTATTGTTGTGTTAGGAGGAGAGTAAGTCTTCCACTAATCTCTTTCCACTAGTGGTTTCAGCAGAATGTAAATGAGGTGTGAACCTGGATCATGCCTGAGTTATTGGGAGTTTGTGCAAGCTTGTATTAAGCTCCCTCTCCTCTTTCTGTGTATGTTAAGGCCCAGAAGGCTTAGGCTTCACAGTTGTGACTAGGGATTCATCGGTCCATGGTCCTGGTCCCATCCTGGTGAAGAACATCCTTCCAAGAGGAGCTGCAATCAAAGATGGCAGACTCCAATCTGGTGACCGAATCCTGGAGGTATGGTACTCACCCGAGTCTCCTAGTATCTCTGATAGTATCTCTGAGCTGTGAAGCCATCCCATCACAGTTCTGTTCTATAGCTCGTCAAAGCTGTTAAATCCCACGTCACATATTAATATACTGATTTTCTTAGGCCCTTTTTTCTAGTTAAGCTATGGGTGGCATCGGATGTAATTCATGCACGAGTGGGGTCGATCAAAGTTACACGAGCAAAGACAAGAAATAACCCAAACCTTCACTCTTTCGGTGACGTCAGTGATCGCAACAGGTCATTTTAAATAATGAAAGACAAACAATAAAATGCATTGGCTGCTTTAGATAGTATTGATCATCTTAATAAAATAAATGGGAGACATGCATCAGCCTTAATGCAAGTTGCTGGGCCATCTGGGAAGAAACCTGTGGGTCAGAATGATGTATCCCGAAAGAATAGTGTCGCTGTCGAGCCCTGTTTGTCCCTTTGGCTTGGGCAAGATGAGTCTGTAGTAAACGAATGCTTGTCAGCGCCGAGTTTAGCGACTCTGGGAGTGTTTGAAAGTGCGGCGCTACTGTTGATTTGTTTCTACAGAAGCCTTTCGTGCGAAATCTGCCAAAAGGTGTTGGCCTTTCATGATGGCTTCCAGCCGGGTGGGTGGCAACAGTGGACGTGATGGTTCTGTTGATTCTGTCGTCCTTCAGGTCAATGGGATGGACATTACGGGGAAGACCCAGGAGGAGCTGGTTGGCATGTTGAGGAGCACGAAACAAGGAGAGACTGTTTCTCTCGTGGTGGCGCGACAGGAGGAAGTGTTTCTGCCTCGGGAACTGGTAGGGCTTGTCTTAACGTTGAAAGAAAAAGATCAGAAACTCGGCTGACATGCCTTGGGGGAGATACTGTATGTCTTAGTTTTGCACTACACACAGCGTCTAGTTAAAGCATGATTTCAATTAGGAGTTATGCATTAACACGCTTATAAATCTATAGGGCTGACATTTTTATATGACAGGTTGAGAAGGAACAGTTAAGACAGTATTGAGAAACACTGTTCATCTTCTGAGTATGATGGATGCATACAGTATTTCCTTTTCCTCTTCCTGAACCTATTGAGAAAACTATGGCTAGGTGCCATTTAGACCAATAGCACTTCAAACTAGGCTTCCTTTCCAAGGTGTTAAACAAATTATTTGGACAACAGTGGCACAATATTTTTTGGAATCTGTTTTTTTTTTTACCTGCAAATTAGGAAGTCTATGTCACAACTTGATATGTGAAATTCAAAGAAATCACTTTGATTCAATGTTTTCATCTGTCTTCATTTGCTCCTAAACCAGACAGAAATCATTCAAGATGCGATTTTCTGTTTTGTTGTCAAGTATCATAGTTGAGGACTACAAGCTGTGCAACTAAAGCCCTGATAACAGAACCAGGAGGCCAGAATACCAACTCTGGACTTGCAGCAATTGTTCATGATCTGTTGTGTTTAACGTACCACAAAACCATTGCCTGGAAAGAGGCAGATACTGGGCGTGGGGGACCCTAGGATGTTTATATTCTCCCAGTGGGAGTTTGTGTTTTCGGCTCTTCTGTGCCCACGTTAACCTCGTGGTAACCATGACAACAGTTAACCAAAATCTGAGGAGCTGTGTGGCAAACTGTTTGGAAGTGGAAAGTGGGGGGGGAGGGGGGAAGAGGCAACCGAATCAATTATTAGCAGAACCGCTGGGATGAGATTCTTGGATCAAATTAACTACAAACCAAATGGGCCGAATGGCCTCCTCTCATTTCTGAACTTTCTTACCTTCTCACAGCGAATACGTGACTGATGAATCGAGTCTGACGTGGCAGACTGGTGCGCGGTGTCCCGGCGGTGCTCGTTTCCGGTTGTTTAAGGTGAAAGTTTTTGTCCAGTGCAACAGAAACGTTGCTCTGGCCGTTCGCAGGGAGGCCCCCTGCTGAACTCCTCCTGTGTCCCTCTTCTCAGCACGAACCATTCCCAGCTCTCCTGGTATTTCTTAAGGCGGCCCTGAAGAGGGGAAGTGGAGCATTTCCCTCTTTTGTTTGGCTGCCTTTGGTTGGCCTTTCACTGAGAAAACGAATGGCCTCATATTGCCTCCAGCAGCTCTTCTTAACTTGTTTGACTTTCTTTCCTGACATATCATCACCGGGCCTCCCCTCCGGCTGCTTCACAAGCGGCGTTTGTTGACTTCCTGTTATTGCCGGCTGTGTTTTTCTTTTTTCGGCGGGGCGGGGAGGAGTCCTTCGCACATGTGCCGCCGGCCGTACAGGAAGTCATGGAGCAGCGCTGGTCTCTTGCCGGCAGCTGGCTGGCTCTTCCTCTCACGGCTCCTGTTGACAGAGAGCCAAAGCCGAATGTGTTTTTTCAGCACAGTTCAGCAGTTTCTGTAAATAGCCAGAGCTGGGAGAGGAGACAACCTGTTTGCGGTGGAGATGTCAAGTGGAGCCGTTTTAGCAGTTTTAATCCTTTGGCTTCCATTGTTTGTTTTTTTTCCTGTTTTTCCTTCATCCGACACTGACAGCCTTCTACGTGTATTACAGCGGGGCTGGAGCGCTGCATAAATCGTGTCGGGCACGTTTTAATGTGAAATGCTGACTTTAAAAAAAAAAAAGATAGCTTACCAAAGTACAGTAAAGGTGTTAATGTAGACAGCACGTGCATTTTTACTAGAAAGTTCCTGTTCTAATTTACATTTTACAGGTCAGTCAGGGAATCTGTCTTCCTTTGCAGTAGAATCTATTGAATCATGACCTTGAGGAGCACAGTTTTATGAAGCAGTATATATATATATCCCATCCACACTGAGAAATATATTCAATACAGGGTTGGAAATGTATGATTAAACACAGCTTATTAGTAATGCGGAAAGCCGCACCTAAAGCTGACACCTTGAACACTGGGACTCATGACTAATGGAAAGTAATGACCAAAGTGGATGGTCTACAGCTCTGTGCACAGGGTCAAGATCTAAGGAGCAGTAGGAATGGGAAAGGCAGCTGTGTGGCCTAAACAGTCCCAATCATATAGACAACGGGCTTGCCTATGAGATCTGCCATCTTCCAGTAACTCACTGTTGCGGTTTTAAAGTGGCACCCAGGACTGTTTAAGACCATCAGCCAACAACAGAAGGCAAGTGCCACTCAGCTTTCAAATAAGTCCCTGTTTCCCCTTCTTCCTAGAGTATTAATCATTTATCATTAAAATGCATTTATTATGGCAACATCTTGATCCCGAAAAAAATCATTGAACCACAGGGAAACTCAATGCTCACTTTGTTGTCTGACAGCTTCCAGCAGGGCCAGGCTGTCACTCATCTCCAGGGATGGGTTTGCCACGCGGTGCCTATCTTTAGAACAAAGCTCCAGGAGTATTTATGGGCGCCAGATGAGAACTGTTAACAGCGACCAAGACCAGCTTGTTTTTTTTTCTTCAAAAACGTCCTGGCCTGCTCACTGACGGTCATCTCTAAAGGTTCGGTTTGCACTGTGGCTCCTGTGTTGTTGTTTTTTGTGTGTGTGTGTGGATGGTGGAGACCACCAGTCACGTTGACATTTTATTGAAAAAAAAATAACCTTTCAAACCATTTTAAAATGGAAAAAATGTATATTAACGTTGCTGTGGACCAAATGTCTCAAAACATTTAAATAAGACAAAGGTCTTTCACCTCACATTGCAGCTGTTTTTAAACAGTCACCCCTGAATGAATGAGGAAAGGAACAGCCATTTTCTTTTGCAGTAAATACCTAACTGCAAAGCTCCTTTGAGTCTCGTGGTTCTCTGTCTCCCCTCTGGAGGACGAGTTTAACTAAAGTCTTTGCGCAGTTTGGGCTGTGGAATCTCTGGCAACCTGCTCCTAATCTGTTAAACAGACCCCCATAAATTACCTGCATTACTTCCTCAATAATCCTTCGATGCCCCTTACGCGGAAGGAGATTGTGTCTCCAAAGAATTTCTTCTTTATTTAAACCTGACTTCCGGGTTATGACAGCGTTTCTGGCTTCAATAAAAAAAAAATGTGCGCGATGGCTCTCAGAACTCAATGAACTGTTTCCCAAGGAGAGAGTTAGGAAGGTGCTTATTCCTGCTGCCCTTGAGTACTTCCCACACAGCTGCTTCACAGAGAAGAGCAGTTTTTGATTAACAGTTGTCCAATCATATTTATTTTTGCATTACTCATCGGTTCTGTCCCTCTTCTAACGTCGGAGGCTTCAGCCTTTGTGACCAACCTTTGCCTTCTTAACTTCTGGAACTTGGGAAAGTGGATCGGAATGTCTTTCGCAGGGGCTTCTTTTCTGTAAACCACTTTGCTGCATGTTTAACGCTGCTCTCATTAGAGGCCAGGTACTTGTCCACTACTGTCTGGACGTAGGCGATGCCCGAGCCTGAAGTGTGGACTCAATAGCACTGCAGTGGAGCTCTGCGTTTTCAGTCAGTGCCTCTGTGCTGCAGCGAGTCGAAATGGAAGTGTTCATAAAGTTATTCAAAGAGGACGAAGGCGAGGAATGTTAATACCGGGGAGAGAAGCCCTCACGGAAAGAGATGGATTACTTCAGTTTGGAGAGTTTATCTGTAGCACATACTTCAGAAAACCTCAAATCCCAGGACGCTGCTTTAGTTACCCTTGAGCAGAGTGCTTCGACTCATTTTGCTTCAGCTATTTCCCTGCTATATAAATGAGTACTTTCTAGGTTTTCTTTGTTAATGGGAATTTGCTCTGACTTGCATAAGAAACAGTAATAATTGCTCACACTTATAGAGCGCTTTTCTGGACACTCCACTCAAAGCGTTTTACAGGTAATGGGGACTCCCCTCCACCACTACCAATGTGCAGCCCCCACCTGGATGATGCGACGGCAGCCATAGTGCGCCAGTACACTCACCACACATCAACTATCAGTGGGGAGGAGAGCAGAGTGATGAGGCCAATTCATAGATGGGGATTATCAGGAGCTCATGATTGGTAAAGGCCAATGGGAAATTTGGCCAGGACGCCAGGGTTACACCCCTACTCTTTTCGAGAAACTTTTAATGACCACAGAGAGTCAGGACCTCGATTTTACGACTCATCCAAAGGACGGCGCCTGTTTTTACAGTATAGTTTCCCCGTCACTGTACTGGGGCATTAGGACCCACATGGACCGCAGGGTGAGTGCCCCCTGCTGGCCCCACTAACACCTCTTCCAGCAGCAACCTTAGTTTTTCCCAGGAGGTCTCCCCTCCAGGTACTGACCAAGCTCACACCCGCTGAGCTTCAGTGGGCTGCCAGTTGTGAGCTGCAGAGTGATATGGCTGCTGGCCATATATGGAAAACCATCTTGGAGAACACTGACGGAGAGATTAGTGTGATCATGGCCACCAGAGGTGAAATGAGAAACAACAGGCTGGAGAAATCTTTAAAAAAGAACATACACAGTTGCAGATTGAGAGTCATTTCACTGTAGTGTGTATTTGTTAATGAAGTATTGAAGAAAGCTAGGTCTTGAAACTGAAAATACTTTTTAAAGAAAAACTTTCGACATATAGGTTTTAAAAACACGTGGCACGTTCAAACCACTTAAATATTTTGGGAAACATAATCATGGGCAATCATACCTTGAACTCTGTAATCACAGAAGTGCTCATGTAGCATGAAGCTTAACCCAAGTCAGTGCCTTGCAAAAAAGTGCCAACAAAGTGACAAGCAGAAAAACAGTAAATGTAGGTCTAGATGTGTATGTTAACAATATACAGTAGCTGTTACAGATATTACTTCTGCCTTCATCTGTGCTTGTTTGGGGAAACTATTAATGTTGGTACACAATGGAAACACCT